TTAAAAGACAGTGAAAGTTTTAGTGACTTAAAGACAGTACTCAATTAAACACATTATTTATTAGTAGTTTAATTAATCTTATTCTGACAGTCTGTTGCTAATGAATTGTCAGAGTAAGTTTTAAAAAACTACTAATTAATAATGTAATAAATTGATAATTGCCTAAATTTAATTTGTTGCTTCTCAGTGTCACTGCCATTGAAGTAAGTAATATGAACAACAAACTTCTTTAATTTGAAGTAATTGTCAATATAGAGAAATGATAAGATCATATAGGGATCGTATTTTCGAGATGCCCTTATTTCTGTAGAAAACCCATATCTGAGACCTATTGGCATTTCTTTTATAAAGAACTTATCATCGGCTTGCTTAAGGTACGCGTAGAAAAGAAACAAACGCTTTCTGAAAAATATTGTATCGGAGTCACCTAAAGTATTTAAAATGTCGTTAATTATCGCTATTTGATGCTCGTTAATTTTTGAAATTCAAAAGCATAATTTCTACAGCTAACATTTTATTTGAAAAACAATTTATTGAATTTTAGACCTTAGTATTGAAATAATGGATCAACGCTCAAATTAATTTGTTTCGACTAGGTAAAAGCACTATCGCTTGTTACCAAAAACACCATGATTTTAATTTTAGCCATGATGGTAATTTTAAGAAAATTTAGTTCAGAAAAAGAGTTAAAGGTTTTTTAATAAAATATCGTTTTGTTTTGAAATGAAGCGAGATTGGACATTTTTATTTATCATTATAACGAGATGGTAACAGTAAATTAAAATGTAAGCAAATGTCTTTCAACGCAATGAATTGTATAATTTTTTAGTAATAATTATTATTTTGGCAGCAGCGATCGCATCTGCCACTAACTGTGCTTCGAACTCATTATTTAAAAATTAAATCTTTATGTTTTTCATCTTAACTAGTCTTATTTTTTTGCGAATTCATAAACTGTTGCATTTGCTATTGCATATTGAGTTATGATATAGTTTCAAGGCAACATAGTTTCTTGAAACTATATTGCCTTGAATAAAAGCCGAGAAACTAATTAACTGTATTGAAAGTCGTTGACAGCAGAATTTTTGTTCATTTTGTCGTCATGACAAGATTGAGCGGTAGTTATATACAGAAAATATAACTGATAGAAACCATACTGCGATCATCTGCATTTTTTTTTATCATTTTTTTCATCGTTTCATCGACATCATTATTTTAATAAGGTTAGGATTTATAGGTTCACATGCTTTAAAAATGTTCTTAACTAAATAAGACGTCTATGGCAATTAATAGTCACTTACGCCTAATGCTTATCTTAAAAGATTTAAAACCTTTTCTTACATTTATAATTTCTTCGATATTCTAAGAACAAATAATAATATTCAAGTACTCTATATGAATAAAATTCCAATTAAAGCCAGATGAAAATTTTGGTAGATATTATTTGCGTTTTTTTTTACCGAGAGGAAGAGCATTTGACTAAATGAAACAAAAAATTTAAAAAATATTTAACAAATATATACATATATAATATATATATATATATATATATATATATATTTAACAAAAATATACATATATAATATATATATATATATATATATATATATATATATATATATATATATATATATATATATATATATATATATATATATATATACATTTATATATATATATATATATATGTATATATATATATATATATATATATATATATATATATATATATATATATATATATATGTATGTATATATATATATATATATATATATATATATATATATATATATATATATATATATATATATATTTGTATATATATATATATATATATATATATATATATATATATATATATATATATATATATATATATATATATATATATATATATATATATATATATATATATATATATATATATATATATATATTTATATATATATATATATATATATATATATATATATATATATATATATATATATATATATATATATATATATATATATATATATATATATATTAGGGCTGTACCGGATTTAATTTTTCCAAATCCGCCGGAGCCGAATTCGCCGGATTTCTACTGACAGATCAGGCCGGAATCAGAGCATGAGCCGGTTTTCGAAACAAAATTACAGGAGCCAAAATCCTGTCTATCCCTACTTGGTGTTTAGAATGGTCAACAATGTGGACTATTCAGAATACCAAGTGGCAGCTGTTTTTTGTTAAACGTCATAATTGTTATTTAAAATGTTTTATAGCGATTTCTATGTATAAATTAATAAAAATTCTATAGAAATTCTACAGGCCATTTGTTTTAAAAGTTTATAGTAATTCTATTGAATTTTTTTTCCGGGATTATGTGACTCAATATGTCTATTTATTTCTGGTTCTTTCGGATATTGCCTTAGTTAAGTGTCACTGTCTTTTAATGATTGTTTTTCATGTGCTGTGCCACCAGGGGACGTATACTGAGTAATTTTATCAATAAAAATGACTGAGTAATGATGATGATGTAGAAAAATTATCAAGCCTAACTTTTTTTTGCTGGATTTTCTTTAGTTTTGTCAATCTTCTGCTCAGCATGCTCAGATTGACTTCAATCTTGCTTTTTTAGCTGTTGCCTGTAATGAGGAGAATTTAGTTTTAAACTGTGGATCAACCAGCGTCGTCACAATATAAAGGAGTTTCTCCTCTCAATGGTTTTAAAACGCTCATCTAATCACTTGATTAGGGTTGACATCATAGTCTTTACACCTGCATCATTGTAAAATATCGTGCGTCTTCCCTTCAGAATTTTTTGTTGCGTTGTTGTTTGAAATTAGGCTTAGCTTATTAAATTATAAAGAAATATAAATACAAATACCAAAACAAACATGAAATTCATAAAATATAGAATTACAAAAAAAATTGATTTTTATAAATAAAACATTAGGTATACATGTAAACACAGGCAAAAAAAATGTAATAAATATTTGACCAAAATTCAAAATTAAAGTTATGACGGAATTGCTAAATTTTTGCCGGAGGCGGATTTGGGCCGAATTTGTTAAAATGGCCTGATATCGGCCGGCGCCGGAGCCAGAGCCGAAATTCGGTACAGCCTTAATATATATATATATATATATGAATATATATATATATATATATATATATATATATATATATATATATATATATATATATATATACATATATATATATATAGATATATATATATATATATTGCTACTGATTTGGCAAGAACTCGTATCTAACATTTTTTTCAAAATTAACGTTTTGGTATCATTAGATTCGTATTTTCAAGGAAAATATAATTTAATTGAGGTTAGTTTAACATATCATCATTTATTTACCGCAAAAACTTGTTTGAGTGATACCACGTATCATATATTTGATTTTAAAATCTCGTAACTGCAAGACAGATATGTTACTAAAATAGCAATACAATACTGCCATTATAGGCATTAATGCCTTTTTCAAACATTACCCAGTAAGCACAAGACGCATTTTCGACACTTATGGACGTCTAAAACTAGTCTAGATAAAGACGCACTTTTATAGACGTTTTGAAGACATCTTGTTAAATGCGTTTTGAAAATGACGTTTAAAAGGTGTCTTTTTTTAAGATAAAAAGACGTCTAACAGACGTCAATTTTCAAGACATCTACTAGACGTTTTTTATAAAGACGTTTTTAAAATGACGTTTAAAAAGCGTCTATTTAAGCGTTAAAAAAACTTCTAGAAGATATCTTTTTTTAAGACATCTTCTTGACATCTTCTTGACTTCTTTAATAAATGCGTTTTTAAAATGATGTTTAAAATGCGTCTTTTTAAAGTTTAAAAAGACGTTTAAAAGACGCATAATAAATAGTCTAAAGGACGCTTTAAAAGACATCTAGATCATAAGGCTAAAAGACGTCTTTTCTGAGACCTGTTTATAAATATGTCATTATGACTTCTTTTTGACGGCTTTGTCATTACGCGTTAAGTAGATGTCGTTTATTCAAAGTAAAAACATAGTTTTTATTATTTTCAATAATTTGTTCAAGTTTTAAGTGTAAATTACTTTAAGTTAAATTTTTTTTTTTACACAATTGCTAGAATTGTTGTCACAGGAATCACTAAAACAATTGCTATAATATTAATATATCTTTTTTTTATTAATAATTATTTTGCTTTTTTAATAGATAGTTGACTGATCATGATTATAAGTGAAAATGGCAAGAATAATAAAGAAGTTAAATATCAGTATTTTTAGTTTTTATACACCCACAAGCCATATAATGTGTCAAGTATGCGGTCAAAAATTAGCTTGCAATACGTAAGATAAATTTTATTATAACTAAAGAATAGTTATAAATGTTTTGAATACTGTTTTGATATATATTTGCTATAGTTGTTTATTATTTTCGTCTTTGATGCATCAACCGTTGGTGGTGATTACAGCAATACTATTTTGATTGCTGGTTCCTATGTATATCTTGAATGTACGAAATTATAACAATATATATCGTTATAAATATAATGAATATATACCACATACTACGCGAAAATGTTACGTCATGTACTTAAATTTATCTTGAAAAAAACGTCTAAAACGCGTTTTTATAAAGACGTCTTCATTTAGACGTCTTTTAGCCTTATGATCTAGACGTCTACAAGTGCGCCTTTTAGACCTCCTTTAAGATATCTTTTAAACGTCTTTTAAAAGTCTTTGTGCTTACTGGGAAGTCTGTGGACTGCATTATAAGTTAATAGGTATTATATATTTTGCATGTTTTATTTTCGAAATTATAGATTTAATAATAAAATAGTGTACACTGCATGACACTGACATTTTATTTATAGTCGTTTTATGTATAATGCACCTAGATCAATATGACGTCGAAAAAACGAGCACATGCAATGGTCAATTTGGTTAAAAATCCTTGTCAACATGCACAATATAATAAACTGTTTGAAGATAATTCCCCTGTGAAAAGTTATGAATTTATGGCATCTTTTATTATAGATAATGACATCAAAAATACTACAGCTAAAGGTAAAAATATTATTTTATTATCCACCTTTATAAAGTTTATACATTTTAGCATATTATATAGTTTAATTGAAGACAGAATAATAATAATTTCTTTTTTTAGTTTCCTGTTTTAATATAGACATTGAAGGAGTTGAAAAGTTTGACATTTTACAAAATGATACAGCTAAAAGTAAAAATATTATTGTATTACATACTCTGATATTATTTATAAATTTTAGCATTATATAGAAATTAATTGAGGGCATTATATTTTTATTTTTAGTTTCTTGTTTGGATATAGACATTGATGCTATTGAAATGTTTGAAGTTGTACAAACTGGTACAACTTGCAATAATGATTGTGATTGTAACACAATTAATATTTTAGAAACTTCAACAGCTGAGTTAACTGAAGGTAATGTCTGACAAACAAAATTAAAATAACCATGACTTTTGTATATTGTGTAGATAATGATTTGTTTTGAGTGTTAGTTTCTTACACAGATTTTAATGTAGATGATATTGAAGTAAATAGTGATATTACAAATGACCCAAGTAATAAGAAAAATTTAAAGAAACGTCCTACTGCAATGGAGAATAGAATGTTTGGCCAAAATTATATTGGGTTTCGTAGATTAAGAAAAAATGTATTTCAAGATACTAATAGAGATTGTAGAAAAATCAAGCCTCGCTGTAATTCTACAGTTTGTATTAAATCAAAGGAATGCAATAAACTAACTGAGGAAGACAGATTAAATTTGTTTAATTGCTTTTGGGCATAAACTTGGGACAAAAAAAAGACTTACATTATATATTTAGTAACACAAGAAGACACCAAGAGAAAAACTACAGGAAAATATGAAGTAAAAAGTAAACGATCTTCATCATACCAGTATCATTTAAGAGATATTAATGAAACGAAAATTCGTGAATGTAAAAAAATGTTTTTGGCAACATTAGATTTAAACGAATGGATGGTTCACAACTGGGTAAAAAAATCTAATAACCTATCACCTTAAGTATATTTAAAAAATGTCAAAAATAAAGATCCTGAAACTAATGAACAAATAAACAAAATTGCAAAATTGCACAAGTAGTAGTAATAGTAGTAGTAGTAGCAGTAGTAGTAGTAGAAAAATTGCTGCAACAGATTTCCCTGTATAACCTACAGGTATTGACAGCCTTATTTACATCATACACTTTTATTTATATCTATATCTTATTATTACATCATACAGTTTTATGTTTATACATAAAAATTTACAATAAGATATATGAAGTATAAGTTTGTACTAAATTGTTTTTCCTTAATTTGTTTTTATTTTTAAGTTACCCAGTTAGCACAAAGACGTTTAAAAGACGTTTAAAAGATGTCTTTAAGGAGGTCTAAAAGGCGCACTTGTAGACGTCTAGATCATAAGGCTAAAAGACGTCTAAATGAAGACGTCTTTATAAAAACGCGTTTTAGACGTATTTTAGACATTTTTTTCAAGATGAATTTAAGTACATGACGTAACATTTTCCCGTAGTATGTGGTATATATTCATTATATTTATAACGATATATATTGTAAAATTTCGTATATTCAAGATATACATAGGAACCAGCAATCAAAATAGTATTGCTGTAATCACCACCAACGGTTGATGCATCAAAGATGAAAATCATAAACAACTAAAGCAAATATATATCAAAACAGTATTCAAAACATTTATAACTATTCTTTAGTTATAATAAAATTTATCATTCGTATTGCAAGCTAATTTTTGACCGCATACTTGACACATTATATGGCATTTATAAAAGACGTCAACAAGATGTCTTCAAAACGTCTATGAAAGTGCGTCTTTACCTAGACTAGTTTTAGACGTCTATAAGTGTCGAAAATGCGTCTTGTGCTTACTGGGTATAATCTCGCTACTTAAGCGAATTATTTGAAATTTCTGCATTAAGCTTAGCCTTGAAACTGTTAACTGATAAAGCGCATACAGTAGACAATTATAAGATGCCTTGTCTGACGACAAGGCATATTATAATTATATTTTGAAAAAAGTTTTAACTTATATAAAATTTCTGCTAAGAATTTTATTTAAATTAATAAATTTTATTTACCTTTAGTGAAACAATCAAACTGTATAATTAGGATTTATTTTTTTGCTCCTTATCTTTCATTCAACCGAACGTCGATAAAACAAATCTTTTTTATTAAACAACTTAAACAATTTTTTTTAAATAAAACTTATAAACTTAACGGAAATTAACAAAATTAACGAAAATTTACGAAAAAATATCGGTATCTTAAAATTTTTTAACGTAAATGACGTAAACGGTAATGGACGGAAACGGGCGGTTTAATTTAAGTTAGAGGCTGTTGTTGACGTCTTTTTATTCAGTTACATGGTTTTTTGGTTTATATATGTATATATAATATACAGTAGGAAATGTAACAGTATAAAATCGCAATAAAATAAGATTAGCCCTATGCAAAGATGAAAAAAAAAAATGTTCAGCTAAAGTGTTATGAAATTTGTAGTGCAATTTTTTAGTTGTAGTTTTATGTATCCCATTTAAAAGTGAACTCATCTTTAAACTCAATTAGTTATTTTACAATGAAATAAAAAATTTCATAGCACGCAAATTCACCTATTTGACACGCACCAACAATTTTCTTTTGTTTTAAGTAACGATTGCTATTTTTATATTAAGATAACATTCAATTTTATCTCAAAATTTATATATTTAAAAAAAAGATTGCTTTTTTTATATTAAGATAACATTCAACTTTAACTCAAAATTTATATATTAAAAAAAAAGGAAATTGACCTATATAACCTTCCCCTAGAGCTAGAGTCTTAATTTTTTTTGTTCGTCTTCATTTTCAAAATGACGCAGAATGCAGTATTCCGCACATCAAAATTCAATAAATGATACTTTTTTGAGACACCCTTGTGCACAGTTCAAGTTTTATGTTTATAGTTTGCATATATGTTTATATGATGTTAAAAGCTACAAATTTTTTGGTAAATATGCGAATGTTTAATTGTTTTAATAATGTGCTTCTAACATTGTGTAGAATGTTTTTTATCTAACGTGTATGTAACAATTATTTACATGAGTCGTTTATGTATGTTATATTTTTTATGTAATGTTCATTAAATCTAATATATTGTAATGTAATGTTCATCAAATATATTATATTGATTTTTTTTCTCCAAATAAGTTTGAATAAATTTTTTTGCAAAAATTTTTTTATGCTGTTTAATAAATTCACTTATATCTTTGAAAAATCAAGTGAATTTTATAATTACATAGGAAATCAAAATTTGTTAGAACACACCATTGTAATGACATCAAAATATTTGTACAAATTATACACCTATTTTAAAAAAAATGTTTTTTAGACTGCTTAGCTTTCTTACGAATCTTGAATATTTAACTTGCTGTAAAGGAACTTTGACGTTTAAGCGCTACTCATTTACGATTTGATAAAAAATCTCAGAACTTGCAAATATATATATATATATATATATATATATATATATATATATATATATATATATATATATATATATATATATATATATATATATATATATATACATCTTATATAAGTATATATATATATATATATATATATATATATATATATATATATATATATATATATATATATATATATATATATATATATATATACTTATACAAAAACACCTTTAAAGGCGAGTTGGAAAATCTAGCAAGAACCTTAGTAATCAAAGGATATTTTTCGTAAATAATTAACTTCAAAATAAAAAGAAACTTAAATTAATCAAAAGAAAACTTAGAGAAAAAAAATTTAAAGAAAACAGGAAAAAATTAAAACCAATAGCTATAGTAATGCAAAATGATCAGAAAAGTCAGTTACTATCAAAAATGATCCAAAAAACTTATATAATTTTTGAAAAAAACCCTATGCTCAACAAAATATTCCAATAAAAACTAGAAGTCTTTTCCAACAACAAATCTTTGTAAAAAAAAAATAATCTCCACGAAATTTCAAAATTAAAAAACATTATATTAGCGCTAATTTACAAACGAAACTTTTTTCGTAAGTTTGTTATTTAAAGGTATAATTATAAATATCTCACATTTTTATATGTGAGTTTTCCTAAATAATATCTTTAACAATTTACCTTAAAGGTAATTTTTAGCTCAATTATTTAGAAAAAACAGTTAACAACTAATCTTGTTAAATTAGACACATTAATTTATTACTAGTTTACAAATGTGATACTAAAAAAGAATTTTTGGCTTTGAGACAAATTTTAAAATGAAAGTATACTTTTGAAATAAAACTATAAAATATAAAATATCTAATATTTTTATAAGTGAATTTTCCAAAATAGTTTCTTTAACAATTTACTCGAGGGGTACTTTTTAGCTCAATTATTTAGAAAAAACAGTTAACAACTAATCTTGTTAAACTAGTCACATTAACTTATTACCAGTTTACATATATTTTTCTAAAATAGAATTTTTGGCTTTGAGACATATTTTAAAATGAAAGTAAATATATAAAATTAAACTAAGCACGTAGATTATACCCCAAAAAAAGAAATAGATTTTAATAATGATTTAAATAAATATTTGCATGAATGGCTAATTAAATAGTTGCAGAAATCTAAAATTTAAAAGTAAACTCATTAACTAATTACTCTGCAAAATAATACAATTCAACCAAAACTTTCCATAATTCTCTCCAAATTAAATAAATAAAAGTGACCTGAACAATAAATTTTAATCATAATATTTTGTTAATTAGATACCTATAAATAAAAAACTAATAAAATGACTCTGAACCGAAAATAATTCTTAACATACAGACAGAAAAATGTTTTTATACAATTTTTAAAATGAGTAAGAATCTTACAAAAACTTTTAAGAAATAATTATTACTATGATCACTTAGCAGGATTACTCCTCTTATATGATCTAGCTTCTTAACCCTAACCCTAACCTTGACTTAAACCTAGCCTTATATATATTAATAATTGTTTATAATGATATTTATATCTTGTGTAAAATAAACATATATAATTATTTATGTATGGAGCTAGTTTTCAATTTATAATATCAGGTTAACAAGCTATACAAACTAAACTTAAGTAAGTAAAATAGTAATAGAGCTAAAGTGCATAGTACCTCTACTACTTAAAAAAAAATAACTTCTAACACAGAAATCCCTTACATTCATAATGATACATTCAAAATGCTACTTTTCCGGCTAAAAAATAAGCTTATGCAAAAACTAACACTTCAATCGGTGTAACAACATATAGAGAATTAGT